TCTTCCTGCCCCACACCATGCTTGGAGATTACACTTAAACCCCAATAAGTAGAAAAGGCTAAACTGCAACAGCATTGAGATTAGGGATCTGCTAATTGAGAGGATTTAAATTTAAGTTCTAATTTAACCTAAAGAAGTAATTCTTTCACTAGAGGACACATGCAACAACTTGTGGATTATCAAAGATGAAGATCTCAAATTTTTATATTCATGGTGTACAATTGGCTAGAAGGAGATATGAGTAGACTGGTGAAATGATATTTCATATAGGTAGAATTCAAAAGAGAGCAAAAGTCTGTGAGGAAGGATTCTCTGATACGGATGCCTCTGAATAAAGAATAACTTCATCTAAACAATTGACATGGAGTATAGCCAATTGATCAGAATTTCCTCATTCTGGAACATCTGGAATAAAAACCTGCTTTCCAGCCTGGGAGATAAGGCACTTTTCAGTAGAGTGGGGGATACGTGGGTAAAGTTCTTTCATTTGCCACACTAACCCATCTAGATAGAAAAAAAATGTCCTTCTCTGTTTGATCAGTCTTTCCAAAAGTAAAAACTTAGTTCTTGATCCAAAATTAACCATTTTTCTATAATTCTGTAATGGTGACATCATTCAGAAAACAATGATAAAACATTCAGATTTGATTTCAATCCAGATAATTTCCAAATTCTGAATACTGAAAAACTAATATGCAAAAAAATACTTTTCCTGTTTTAGTCTTATTAATTGTGAGAAAAGATGATAGTTGCTTTACAGGTAATTTTTGTAGCAATTCCACTTGAAATTATTGATGCTGCACTCCAGTTTATTTATTTATTTGTGATGTTTTCCCTCAGTATATGAAATACATGCAAAATGAGTACTTGAAAGATAAACAGAAACAGTGGCACAGTGTAGACATAAATAAACAACTTTTTTAAACAAATATTTTCATTAACAATAGCATATATATTATACAATAGCATAATCAATAGCACTTAGAATGAAGAAAATACAGTTAAATCTGAATGCAAATAAGAGCATTAGATCTAAAGCAGAAAATTACGTATAAACTTGTGGTTCTGCTCAGATGATTGCTTCTGCATATTTAAGATTAACTGTTTCCTCTATCAGTATATTCAGTGTTTATTGAAGAGAAACACTTTAAGCGTTATTCAAATATATCTTGGAAAAATAACATTTTTGTGTTTTATACTGTATAATGTAAAGAATTTCAGGCCCCAAAATATGAAGTTTTAATTGCATTTTATTCATCGTCACATTCTATCATTCTTGATCTTAAATGAACACAGCTGGGAAGTAAAATACATTTCCCTGTTGACTGTGATGGTAGGGTTTCAAACCAGTGTTTTCAATTGCAGGGATGATGTCTCCAGAGAAACTGTAATAACAACATACCTGGGGTTTTTCTGTCTGAAAAACATTCTTTCAATAGAACACTGAAATGTTTACAGACATTGGAAAGTCTGGTGGAAAAGGAATTTACTAAATGCCTGAATAGATACTTTCATTTGTTGAGATTATGTTTCTGTACTGTACTCCTCTTTCCTAGAGAAGCAGTAGAAGTGATGGAGATTCAAGGTCTGAGTTTTACCTCCAGCTGATTCAGAGCTGGTTTATACTACTCCTGGAAGGTAAAAACAAGGGGAAGAACAAGAAAACATGTTTAGACAGTAATTTCAAACCTTACCTCATTATATAACAGCATCATTTTTTGAAATTCTGGCTAGAAGTTTTTGCATATTGAGATGCATTCCTGGGAAGGTAAAAATGTCTGATTGATGTTACAAGAGACTTCTATTTCCCTATTGACAAAGGAAACGATGAATCACATCAGGTGTCAAAAGCACTGTGATTCTAAAACTTTGATTTGTCAAAGAATGCCAGGTATCTTAACTATGCTATGAATCTTACACCTGGCTCTGCATGTTCCATAACTGGTCATCTGCATCCTTCCCTGCCTTCTACTCCTGACCCTAAATGCTATTACTGACATTGGGTCTTTGGACTAGAGATTTGGACAAACTAGCATCACCTGTGTGTTTCTATCCCTTTCTAGGCTGTTTGTATTCCTCTAGATCATCAGTAAAGTGCTAGGCAGAATAGGACTGCAGCGCTTAGGAAGGGGATACAAATATAAGAGAATAGAAAACAGAATGTCTGTGGAACTCCCACTTAAGAAGTCGTCCAAAACCAAATCCTCCATCATCAGTGTAACAGGATTTGACAAGAGAGAGCGAGAGTGGAGATGGAGTGAACTTGTTTTCCTCCATCTAGTCTTTTATTGACTTGAAAAATTCAAAAGTCACTAATTAGCACACATTATATATTACTTCAGTATGCTACCCTAACCTCTGTTACTGATGACCTAAAAGAAAAACTGTTGACCATTGTGGGCTCCATAAATAAAGATATAAGCACGGGTTGTACTTCATGGATGAAAAACATATGCTTTTGTATTTTCAGTAGTTAATTTGCAAATAAAAATATAATGAAAAGGGGAAAATATTTTTTCTTCCTTAACCATGATATCACACAACAATTCTATATGTGAGTAATATAGTTTGTATGGAGATGGTTGTTGAAAAAAGTTGTTTATTTAGGTTTAAATTGTACCACTGCTTCTGTTTCATCCTGAAAAACTCAGTTTTGTATGTATGTCATATAAGGAGGGAAAGAATTACAAATAAATAAATTTCAGTTCAGCATCAATACTATCAAATAGACTAAATCCCTGACATGTACAAATCTCGGGGTATGATGCAGTAAAAGTAACTTACTATTTTATAAAATAACTACTTGTGGCACTATTATTTTTTCTCTCTTCCTAGTTGAGTTTCAATGAATACTACTCATAGATGGCAATTAATGAAATCTACCTTAAATTGGTACTAAGAAATTTTAAAATCAGGTTAGTAGGAAAAGATACCAAGAAGATGGACAGTTTGGAATAGGTTAGCTTAGACCATAATGGGTGAAAATAAAGTATTTGGGACAAGAATATTAAGTGAGAAAGTCAATGTAAAGAATGCCAGCTCACCATGAAACAAGTGCTCTGTCAGTCCATTAGCCTTATGTCATTCTGATAAGATTGTGTCTTGTAATGTATCCCTTCTGTTAAAGGTTTAGTGGTTTTATGTGTTTCAATAGGGTATTTTTATGTGTGAAGTTGCCAGTCTTACTGCCTAGTTTTTATTTTGCTATAGGTTTGTAATGCTGAAGTTAACTAATTTTTCACTACTCTTTTGTAACACGAAATGAACTTTAGCTTGATGTACTCAATAAAAAATACCACTTTTAATATATTTTTGAATAATTAGAATGAACACATCAGAAAATCTGAAGCAAAGGTGGTTAACATTTCATCAATCATAAGATTTTCTTTCTGTGTATGTGTGTGTGTGTTGGTTGCTAGAGAGAAACAGAATGTTTGTGTTTACTGTGATTGGAAGGGGATCCTTCATTATTTGTTGCTTTGTAAAAACTACAGACTAGCCTAGGAAATGTAGTGCTCAGATGCTGCACATGGAAACAAGTCCAATGCTTTACAGTTTGAAGTGTTGTGTCTTGTTTTGCAGCATATATTACCTATAAATAGACACTGTCATCTGTATTACTTATTTTTTCCATTTGACATTCCTTTTATTCTCAGGCACTGTCATCATAAGAATTTTGTATTCAATAACTTTGAAACTGGTGGAAGAAAGATTTCTTGTCTCACAAGCTTTGGGATTAGACATAAGTCTTCTGACTAAAGGTGTTTGTCAGTGAGCATTTTTAACACATTTTAGAAAAAAAAGCAGTATGATACGCTGTTTCATTGTGTGTTTTACAGATTTTATGTATTACATTGCATATAGACCTAGAATGTAGTTTTGATTTAGTACTCCATCTTGGATAATATAATAAAAATATATATCCAAAGTGAGAACAGAAATTATTGGGAATTTTACCTCACAAGGGCTGACAGACAGTTGCACACACTCTTAAAGCATAGATAAATGCCAAACACTAAGTGCAGTGAAAGTCAGAAAAGAAATGTCAGGGAAAGAAAAAAAATAGAGAACGCAAAATGCTATAATGAAAGAAATGTGCCAAGAAAAAAAATAACAAAACAACCCAGGTTTTGTAAACATTTAAGATGAGTTGCAGATTACTGTTGGACAAAGAGAAAAATATTTAATTTATGATACATTAAATGCAGAAGTTATTAGTTAAGACAGCTTTGAATGAAATTGCTTTTGTATTTCTACTCCAAGGCAACAGAGAAGGTGTTTTGAACCCCTTGAAAGAAGGAATAGTGACACACTGAACAGTGAAGAAAGTTACCATGACATGTATACACGCTAAATGAGTGCAGTGGAGGCAGCTCAGAAGTTGAAATTGCCCACACGTTTACGTACCTCCACTTGTCCACCAGACTGGCTGACTGTGCCAAAGAGCTCCTAAATACAATGGCTAGAAGTTGTGTAGGGCTAGAACTTCAGTGCTGCAAAACAGTGCAGATCACTTCTATCAGAAGTTCTACAGTGATATTGCACAGGATTTGGTAGATCAACATTTCTTATGTGCACAAGCATTGCTTTCTAGGTAAAGTTTTTGTGACACGTGAAGCAAACATCACAGTATTGTAGGAACAGTTTAGAAGACCAGGCTACAAACTTGTCCTTTTCACCTTTTTCTTTTTTTTTCCTCACTAGTTTTGCCTTCTAACATGCAGAAACAACCTTAGTAATTTCATGTCAAAAATATAGAAAAGAAAGTCTGGAGTCAGTTTAAATGCATAGCATATACGTAGCTATAGTTGTTACTATATATGAAAAATTAAGAGACAACAACCTGGAAAATAAAAAATTCTGAAGCAGATAGCACAGGCACTTGTCACCTATCATAAATATATATACGTATCTTGTAAGAATTTGGAGGGTCTTTATATTGTGCTTTGTGCTTTAAAGAAAGCCTAAGTTTGGTGTTGTCCGTCACATATGCTATTTCATGAATTGCTTCCAGTGCTTGCTATACTGAGACACAGTCTAGGTAAGACTGTAATTTTTCAGCTCTCTTTTTGTATTTAAGTTATGAGTTCTGAAACTTCCTGAAGGAAATTTGGATTTTGTTTGTGTAATTTCCTCTAGAAGTTCAACAAGACCAGGACCTGAGGCTGTTTCATTGAAAGGCAGAACCCCAGAGCACCTCTTTCACCTCTGGGCCTTTTTTCTTCCTCATATGTTCCTCATGGTAGATAAGTTTGGCACACACTATTCCAGAGAATATTTTACTACTTCCTAAACTCACATGCTTGTCTGCATATTTTCTGTATTAGTCAAGTCAATGTATAACTATGTCATTGTGGTAGTTTGGTCTAGACCTTCCTTGGTGACCAGTCTGTAACCAAGGAAGGGCCCAGATTTACCCAGTATTCCCTATGATTTTTGCGTAAACCAGACTATAAGAAGAAAGGAGGAAAGGCCTTCACTCTCTTTCCTTCCGGCGGCTTTGGAGGTGCAGGTTTCCCTGCTGTTGAGTCTGCCGTGTTGGGGAGCGAGGCCTGGTAAGGCCTTGTCGACCTTGGGAGACGGAGGTTGCCAGCGATCATTCCATCATGACTCTCCATTGTCCCAAGGAGAGTAGTAAGATATTCTTTGCTAATTCTTTTAGTAGCTAGATCTTGAGCTATTGATTGGGATATATATATTTTATTTTGGTTTTGTTCCTTTTTTCCCTTCCCCCTCCCTTTCCCTTTTCCCTGTGAAACTGTATATATATATTTCAACTGCATATAACTGTAATATAAGTGTAAATATATTTATATATATTGCTTTAGCTGTCTCTCTCTCGTTTCCGTTTTCTTCGTTGTTTTTTTTCCCCTTCTCCCTGAGGTTTGGAGAGGGAGGGGGGACTTCTTGTGGTAAGGTTTGGAGACTTGGCAGGGAGCCAGCTTCAAACCATATCAGTCATTTCTGTCAATTTGCCATAATTCTTTCTAGCACTTTCCATATTCTCCAGCATGTTGCCTTTGTCTCTATGCTAACTTGCTAAAACTAAACTTCGAGCTCATGTTGGCCATTAGAAACTGTATTTTCCTCTCTCTCTCTGCCTGTAAGAATCTTGTAAACAGATCATATATATTTACAGGGGTTTTTTTAAATTGAAACTTGAGATATTAATGGAATAATTGAAAAATATTAAACTAAATTAGTGAGAATGAAACATGCTGTGGAATTTTTTCTATTCTGATGCTTTATACTGAAAAAGTTGTCTTCAGTGGAAAACTGATTCTGGTCTTGATTACAGATTAGTTGGAAAAAATTCAATATAAAATTTTATCTTTTGAAAAAATCCTATACTTATTATCTTTTCTAGGATAACCTACAAAAATTCAACAGACAAAAATACTTATAACCTCTTTAAAGACCATGACAGACAGTGTTTAGTTGTCAGAAAGCACTCTAGCCAATAATACCCACCTCCTAATTTATAAGTTTTCTCAGGGGTCATTCTGTCTTTTAGAGAGCTGTTGCATGACAGAGGACATGGTTATTTCAGTTTCTTACATAGTACATCAGTCTTTTCCCTACTAGTTGTGCTTCAAAAATTTTAAATACTCAAGCTAGAATAATTTCCCCCTGTGGGTTATAAAATAGATGTTGAAAAACCATAAGTGACTCCACTCTGTTAAAAAATGCCTATTCATCACCTTTATTCCCCAAACTCCATGATGCCTGACTCTTTCATTTCATTAATCCCTCCAGGAGAAGAATCAGATCATAAACTGTCACAATTATTTCAAACAGAATTTACTGGAGAACGTAGTTGTAGCATCAGACCTAGAGGAGGAGAAACAGAAATTTCCTCAGCATTTGTTAATGAGTAGTAAAAAAACCTTTATCTCCTCTAGCACAGAAATTAGCTATTGGAGGAATATTCTTAAAATAGATAGTTAAGGTAACATACTTATTCATTTCAATGTCAATTTGTCATCACAGACTCACTATGAAATAATTTCATAACATGAGTAGGTATTTATACCAAGCAGTTTCTACTACTGCTATTTCTACTCTGAAAGCTGAACTCTCTCTATAAATTAATTTTTATAAAAGTTTCCTCTCCTTTTAGTCTGGTTCTTTATTTTGATTTTTCTTTTCACACTATTAGCACAGGCATGTAAACGAACATGTGCTAGTTCAGTATTGCAATTGCTTTTAGCATAAGAAAGTTGTTCTGTAAAGGACTAATAAGCCAAAACTTTAAAATGTATTGTTTCAGTAGAGAATTTTGTGAGAGGATAGATTAGATTTCTGACAGAAATTTCAGATTAAGATTTAGATCAAACTGTATTTTAGAAATGCAGTTTATTAATCAGAACAATAATTTTTTGTGGGGATATTTCAGCTCACATCATTTGGCATTTTTGCAGACAATGTATATTTCGGATAGTCAGACAGGGATGGAATTTACAATAATGCATTCAGCTAAAGCGTATAGCTGTCTGAGCAACAGATGATTAATCTCTCCAGAACTGTGCCTCTCTGTTTTCCTCTCAGATATTTCTAGAAAGGTCCCGCTTTTATTTTGCTTTGAATTGCTCTTTTTCTGGTCTGAAGTGGCTTCATGCATTTGAGTCTCACTGGTGTTTGAGTTTAATGGCTTTTTGGCCATTTTCCTGAAAAGGAAAGAAAATATTAACTGTTCTAGTTTAAAAGGGAATGAAAACTACCAAATGCTAGTTATTTTAGTCTTTTGAATCATGTGGTAGACAGCTGACTGGAAGCAGGTGACTGTTGTACCAATTTTCAAGAGGGGTAAGAAAGAGGACCCTGAAATTACAGGCCTGACAGTCTCACCTCAGTGCCTGGTAAAGTTATGGAGAAGATTATTCTGGGAAGTATTGAAAAATATCTGCAAGGCAACACAGTCACTGGTCACAGCCAGCACAGTTTCATGAGAGGAAAGTCCTGCTTATCAAACCTGATTTCCTTTTATGACAGGGTCATCCACTGTAAGGTGATAGACAAGGCCACACAAAAGAAGAAAAAGGCTTCTGATGGTTTCCTGGAAAACCTGGGGAAACATTCCCAGAAACTGATCAAAGGATTAAAATAAAGGAAGAAGTGATATGGAAATAACATGGCCTTTTCTCATGAACATCCTGGCTGCCAGGAACTTGGGAAGCCAATCTGTGGGCCTATTTCTTCTGTCTATCAACCCAAAATTGGTTTATTGACTATAATCATTCAAGCTTCCTGAAGAAAAAGGTATAAAAAAGGTATAAAGCAATTGCTTTATACATAAATACTAATTTTACTTTTACTCCAGAGTACTTAAAAATTTTTACTTATTCTTTGATAGTTCTTTTGCTTTAGGTTGGGTGCTTAAGTTTTTGCTTTACTTATTCTTTGTAAGTTGTCTTACTTATTTGTAAGTTGCCTTTTGCTTTAGACTGTGCACCTATGCTTTGCATCATTATTGTTATTATTGCTACATAGTTTAAGTGTGGGGGTTTGCAGTTAGACACTGTTCCAGACAAAGCAAACCCCATAAATAACCGCAAATTTCTATTAAAAACCATGTTATTTTGTGAACTGTTAGAGTGAGTCTGTTTTTAAGTGCTGACAGTTTCGTCAACAGTGAAATAACTCCTAGGAAAAACCTACTGAGGGGTTTTTCTACTACTATTTGGTGTAGTCCTTATATGAAAATGTATCAAATGTCCTGTCCATGTTGGTGAATCTAATAAGTGAAGGGGTTCACTAGGTGAGATGCTAACAGACTCTTCTGGACATTAAAAGGCTTTGATCTTGTAGGGGATGCTGATAGCAAAAAAATAAATAAATACAGGTTGAACAGAAAATTCATCTTTTCTGCCTCTTTTCATGTGACACCCACCCAGCTGATCAAGGGAAGCCAATTGGTGTAATCTTTTTGGATTTCAGTAAAGCTTTCAATACCGTCTCTCACAGCATCCTTCTGAACAAAATGGTCAGAACACACCTGGATAAACACATCATGTGGTGGGTGAGCCACTGCCTCACGGGTCAAGCACAGAGGAGAATAGCAAATGGGGAAAAACCATACTGTCACTAGTGGGGTTCCACAGGGTTCCATCTTCATAAAGGACTTGGATACAGGACCAAGGAAGGGATATTAAGCAAGTTTGCAAGTGACACAAAACCGGGAGGATCTGTTGACTCCCTCGAAGGCAGTGTGGCCCTGTAGAGAGACCTTGACAGATGAGAGGGCTGGGTAATTACCAACTGTATGAAGGTCAACAATGGAAATGTCAGATACTGCATCTGGGATGGGGCAACTCTGGACATTTGTACGAACTGGGGAATGAGATGCTGGAAAGCAGTGCCATGGAAAGGGACCTGGAGGTCCTGGTCAATGGCAAGTTGAATACGAGTCAACAGTGCCCTGGCAGCCAGGAGGGCCAACTGTGTCCTGTGGGGCATCAGGTAAAGCATTGCTAGCTGGTCGAGGGAGGGGATTGTCTCGTTTTGCTCTGCACTGAGGCAGTCTCACTTTGAATACTGTGCGCAGTTTTGGGCACCACAATATAAGAAGGATCTAAAGCTACTAGAGGGTGTTCAAAGGAGGGGTTATGAAGATGGTGAAGGGCCTTGAGGGGAAGCCATATGAGGAGCATCTCAGGTTGCTTGGCCTGTTCAGCCTGGAGGAGAGTGAGGGGAAACCTTATTGCAGTCTACAATGCCCTTGTGAGGGGAAGAAGAGGGGCAGGTACTGATCTCTTCCCTGTGCTGACCAGTGACAGGACCTGAGGGAATGGCCTGAAGTTTTGTCTGGGGACGTTTAGGCTGGGTATTAGAAAAAGGTTCTTTTACCCAGAGGGTGGTTGGGCATGAGAACAGGTTCCCCATGGAAATTGTCACAGCACCAAGCCTGACAGAGTTCAAGAAGTTTTGGATGATACTCTCAGGTACATGGTGTGACTCTTGGGGATGATCCTGTGCAGGGCCAGGAGTTGAACTCCATGATCCTTGTGGGTCCCTTCCAACTTGACATATTTTATGATTCTGTGATTCTGTGATGTTTTTGTTTGATCTCATCTTGCTATCAAGGTTACTGTAACAAAAATTTAATTTTCTCTCTACAACTGTATGCCAATGAAACTGCATCATACCTACATGAGCTTTCTTGACTAGATGGAAAATAGTAGCAGAAAAGACAAGATGATATTGAAATTGGTTGCCTACTTATGCTGGTTTTTTCCCTTCTGAAAACTTGAAACTGGACCTTTGTAAATTAATCATAATTAACCTGCTCAACTTGGTGTTTTTTTAAATTTTTTAACTCCATAGATAAAAGAAACATCACATATGTTGAACAATGTCAGTGGAGGAGACCATGACCACCTTTCTATAAGCTAAATTATATACAGAATCTTATATTTTAAAGAATTGATTAGTTTCTCATTTTTCTACTTTGTTTGTAGAGTATTTCTGATTTTTCTTTTCCTACCTGAAAGTGCTACTTCTGTGAGCAGAATTAATTTCTTCATTTAGATATCAGTTTATAGTAACCAAAAATATAAATTAATTCATGTATATATGTGGTGTGATGTCAGAACTACACTAACAAGTGCTGGGGACCTGTGTCATCTCTTCCTTTTTTGTATGTATATGTATATTTAATATTGTTTTGTCACATGTAGAACCAAAGTTCTTGAACTATAATGACATTCATTGAACAGTAGCTAATGAAGTACATTCATATTTTTCACTTGTAGATTAGAAAAAAAGAATTCCATTAGACAATCAGTCTTTTACCTCCAAGAATTCCACAGGTATCTCAGATGTGGGTTGAGAAATTGGAATAAATTTCAAAATATCTTTGAGGACAGCAGTATTAATGTTCATGCATGAACATGTCAGGAAAAAAAAGGTGAGTTTTCCTGAGTTTGGTCTTCCATCTTCCAACTTTAGTAAAGTTACATCAGATTATTTTAAAAACACTTTGCCAATCTTTTGGAAAACTTTGAACAATGGTGTTCATGAATTAATGCATGATATTATAATTTTAACTGCTATGAAAAACTTAAGGGTTCTCATGAATATAATAAAAACAACCCGTATTGTGCTGATGGTCTTGAACTTGCCACTTTAACACAGTGACCTTGAGCTGAGCTTGGTATGAACCATATACAACTGAAGTAGCACCTGAAGGATCATTTTGCTCCTTCAAAATTGAATTTTTAGGGTTTTTTTAGAGTTTGTTTTCAGGTTATTAAATTGGATTATATTGCTGTTTTAGATAAAAAAAAAAAAATCTATTTTTCCTCACCATTTATAAGTATTTTAGTTGGCCAGGAGAAACTGCTATTAGTAGAAGTTAAAAGAACACTTAGTCCAAAACCTGTTTAGCAGTAGTGGTGGCAGCATGATCAATATGACAACATTCCATCGGCTCCATTGTAGTAAGGTGCTAGCTCACCCTTGGAACAGCTGGAACACATACGCAATGGGGAATCCTTAGATGTCTCAATTTTCCCCTGCTCAGTTGCATGATGTGTCTTTTATTTTCACATCACCTTTTTCACATCAGAACTTCAAATCAGTGTGAAAGTGAAATAACAAATATTTCTGACTCTTGGCACATGCACCCTCTGGACTTAAAACTTTGTTCTAGGCACAGCTTTATGATGATTACCACACGCTACTGAAAAGCTGTCCTCATTTTTTACAGATGTTTCCATGTGTTATGATACAATTATGGAGAGATACCTCTGCCTGAATTAAGGTGCAAGTGAGACCATATGCCAAAGTCAATATCATGGATTTTATGTAACAGTAAATGTCTGGTAGAGAGATAGAAAGAAATAGGAAAGAGTGGGTGGAAGAGAGAGACAGAGACAGAGACAGAGAGAGACAGACAAAAAAGGAGAAAGAGCTCAAGCAGATGATAATCATCACCCACGGATCCAGTGGCGTTCCCTTGGTCCTTCTTCACCCTGGGCTTCTGGGTAGTGAGGATCCCCAGGTCATTCTTCTGGTGGTACTACCTTTATAGAGTCCAAGTTCCAGGTATCCGTGAGGTGGTCTCAGGTGTTCACATAGTTTGGGTTCGATGTGTAATAGCAGTTGCTTCCTTTCCCACAGTTTGCCACAGTGGGAATTTTTGTCCAGGTGCATTAACCAGGATGTGCTAACCAGACCTTACCTCCCTCAGGCTTGGAATTAGCACATTCCTGTTGCAAATTCCTCCCTTCTGTGCTTATCTGAAGTTCCCACTGTGGTGGTTTATCTTATGGCAAGTTCCCTCTGTAGCCTTGACAGTGCTTTGAGACAGGCAACTGTATATTTTAAGTCTTTACACCATGTGCCTAAAATCAAGGTGCTAAATATCTCCCTGAGAGACATGCATATATTTTATTGACAGTATTTCATCTTAAAAAGACTATTGTACAAGCTATTTAGGTAGATATTATTTTAATAATTGTATGTCATTATTTAAAAGAAGGTTTATACAAACAAATCTATATTTTTAGCTTATGTATCTTTCATCTTCAAGAATGGAGACATTTTACTGAGAGAAGAAATATGTCAGTCTGCAAGAGGTAGTTTTTAGAAATATACAAAGGACATTTTGTGTTTCACATTAAAACACAATTCGTTATCCAAAACCAAAACCAAAATTTATGTCTTTCATCTCCGACAGTCTGGGTAAGACAGTCTGGATAAGGAAGAAGAATGTTATGACAAATAAACATTTCTTTCTCTGTAGTGTAACATTTTGCTCAGCCTAGGGAAAGAGATGGCATTTTCCTTCTATCTAGAAAGAGTTGAAGTTGCAAACATCCAACCTTGGACAGAAATTTACCACTATTTGCTATTTCTTCCCTGTGAGATTTCAGGCATAAAACCAGTGAATCACAGGTTTTCTGTGAGAGTTTCTAATAATTTTCTTTCTATTGTTGACAGAAGGCCAGGCCTTATCAGCATCTGATAGGAGATCAGCCTAATAATGTATTCAGCTTTCTTTGAAAAAGTGCATGAAGGGAAAAGTCGCAGCGGGACTAGAAATATGTTTAATGACCTAAGTCAAAGTTTATGAGAAAATAACAGTTTGGACAAGATTGGAAAGACAAATGGAAGAAATGTCCCATGTAATAAATACTGAGTGATGATAGAATTTGTATTTCTTTTTTTCTTTTTTTTTTTTTTTTGTAATGTAGCTCTTAAGGTATTCATTATTGTTACTAGTTATAACTCAGTTTTTGTCATAAATTGGCAGTGAAGCTTTATAAAATAAAGCCTAGGGCTAATAAAGTACAAGATTTATATATGGTTTTAAACACAGAAATAATCCTACTGGCTTCAAGAAGAGTGAGTCATATGCATTAAGATTTTAATTTTGATTAGGAATACACCTGCGTAAACAATTTTCTGATAACTCTTTTGCACATTGTTGCGCATTTTAACACAGCCTTGAGTGCCTGAATCTGGTCTCTTTCAGAGGAAATGGAACTAGAAGACAGTCTTGAACGATACACTTCATATAAAATCCACTGATCTTCTTCTGAAATTTTGTGGAAAATACTGCTGTTATTTTTATTTCAGTTGTTTGTGAGTCACGTCCCTCATAAACATGCACTCAGTCCAATGCTGTCTCTAACTCTGGCCTAGGCAGAGCTGGGGGGCTGCAGGGCTCCCCTCGCCCCCCTGGATGGGGGAAAGAAGGAGCCCAGCCACCCCCTGGCCTTCTACACCTACACGCAGCAGACACCAACAGAAAAACTGCCAACCGTTTCCAGTGGTTGTGATATATGATTTTGAGCAGAAGCGAACAAGACGTGATTGGCTCTCCAGGGAACACTGCCCTGGCACCCAATCACCTCTGAGCCCCCGACTCTCAGGGGGAGTCAATCTTAACCCATGACAATAGCTATTGGCCCAACTTCTCTTAGTCTCCTAAGCTGATATTTGTGACATATTTTTCCTATTTCCTGTTTTTATTTCAAAAATTGAATTTTCATCAGATGATCCATAAAAATAATGGATTCCTGTCCTAAAATTTGAAGAAACAGAGGAGAAGAATTATCTGATTAGCTAATTTTTTTTCTTTATTTTTTTCTTTCTTTTTTTTCTTTAAAAACAACTTACGTTTAACCATTTTAACTGTTTTTATATAGAATGGTTACTACATCTCCTGGTATGTTGGGGACAGAGAGGGTAAAAAATTTAATATAATCTCAAACAATACATCTCCATAGCAGAGATTTATTTCACTTCAGTGACTTAACAGATTTATTTGTATCAAAACAAAAACTATTACAGGGTGCACTTAAAGAGACAATAGCTTCACAAAATACAACAAACAATTTTGTCCACCCTTTATTTTTTTCAACTTAGTTATTGAACTGAAATCAGTTAAATTAGTGTGAATTGATAAGACAATCAAACTTAGAAGAAATAGCCAGATATCAGTGTGTTCATAAAACAAGAGAACAAAAGAATGAGTTTGATATCATCCAATCATTATAGAAATGGAACATTAAACTGTTTGGAAAAGGGGAAAATTTTAAAAGACTTCAGTAATTTATTGCTTTGCATTGATTGAGCATGCACAAAACCACATTTTGTCAATTTCTTTTCAGTTGCAAGGCCCAATATTGATTTTTTTTGTGCAACTGTCATGATGTAATATATATAGGAAGTCAGCCTTTTTCTACCCATAATTACCTTTAGGTTGAACTTACCCTAGTCCTCCAGCCTCTCCTCAAGGCTCCAGCTCTGACTAACATGATGCCCTTCTGCAGAGCTCAGTCAGTTTTCTTGATGTCTCTCTTTTATTACTCTCCCAAACTGGACCACTACCTGTGGTCTAAAGAGCGCAGCAAATTCTGTTTGTGAGTATATAACAAGCTTAATGGGCTAAAATAGGAAAATGCATCTCTGTCTCAAAATATATAATGTTTTCCTTACAAATAAGAATAAATTGGCAATTAGCTATCTCATGCTTGAGAAACTTGCTGTGCATCATCTGTTGGTGAAGACCAGCATTTGATTCCTGTCAGTTAAAGTTCAGTGCACAACTGAGTGGGGGACCATCACTTTTAGAATATATGTATTGATTTTATACAGTTTTCTAGCAATGTTTCCGCTAAAAACTACATCTTCTCTGTGCCAAACTTCATCCATCATCAGTAACATTGTCTGGCTTTAAAAGTCAATGTACAAAATCTAAGCAACAGTGACTCACGCTTGTGAAAGATTTAGTGACTTAACTACTTGACAGTGCACTCTGTAGTGTAACTTTTGATGCATCCTGAAATGTCTGAAAGACTTACCTATTCATGAGATTGCCACGGCCAGACTTGGTGGCATATTTGTCCATCTTGGCACAATCAAATTTCAGTCAGGTAACTTGGGAATGAGATTTTATATAAAAATTACCAGCTTCCTAGTGATCCTCAACCCAGACATTTTATGTTTTCTATATAGTAGGTACTAGATTAGCAGTGAACTATTTAGTCACCTTATTTTACTAAAATCTGTTCTGTAATGTATGTGCCATCTATTCACTTTAGTCTAGAAAAACAAACTTTAATTCATCTCTCTATTTATGTCACCACGCATTTCAGTTAGTTCATAGTTGTCTTTTTGCAAAAGTGAACCAAAATAAATATCTATTTGAACAAATCATGCTGATGATAGTGTCACATTAGTCCTACTTTGATGCATATCCTTCCCATACACTCTTCAAGTCATAGCAATCTATATTCTGTTTCTCAGTGCCTCATTATCTGGAATAGTGATCTCATAGCACTAAGAGGACAGGTTACTTGTATAGTGTACTGCTTACAAGCCCAGTCAAGCAACTAAATACAGATTCGACTCTACATTACAAATATCTCAGAAACCATTAAAAAAAAAGAAAAGGAAGCATGAGGAAGTACCTACTGAAACATAAAATTCATTCATTGTCTATCATGAGACCCCCAACAGTAGTTACAGCCAACAAGTTAATTCAGTCTGTAAACCTTCAAGGTCTTTTCATTCCTTTCCTACATGTTTCTGTTCCAAGGACATTATGAATTTTAGCAATTTGAAATGTTTTTCTTACAGTTATCTGATCTATTTGTAGTTAGAGTAGTATATGACTTTGTTCTTTTGATAAGTTTTTTTAAACAGTTCTTCCACCTTCCTGGTGTTCATATCTTTGCCTTTATTGAAAGTAATCAGTGAACTTGATGTAGCTATCCAGGGGTTTTGTCTGTTAGACTGTATTCCTCTAGATCATCTACAAGATCTTTTGTCATGTGAAGTAATATATTGTAGAACAGCTTCTTTCTTTGCCATCCTAACATGAGTCATCTGGACTACTCATTATGGTGTGAATTTTTCGTTATTAATTAAAATATTCAGGGAGAAAATGAAGGCAAATAAAACTTCAAAGGGATATGACCTCAATTATATACAGTATTGAAATGATAGTTCACTGCTAAGTGACATAAAAGAAGGTGAGAAAAAACCCGTTTATCTAGGAGGTTGGTCTGGTACCTCGTTTGTGTTCCTTTCAACATGAAACACAGCACTAAGATATTCTTAACTGTTTCAACAGTGTAACACTTGTAAAGAGAGACTTCAGTTAACTGAACTCTTCAAAGAGTGGTTAGGTTTTTAATGGAAGGAAGCTTGTATTTTCATTTTTTTGCTAGCCTTGGGGAATGTGTTAGATTTAGACTAAATCCTATGGTGACAATTATATTAGTCTTTCCAAAAATATGGTCATGTATTCTTTTGCTACTCTTAGAATATCCCTGCCCTTACAGAAAAACTGCTTGCATAGCGTAGCATTTTCATCACTTGCTTTTCATAGCAGTATTTAGAGAGTTGGCATTTTGTTCTTGAATCTCAGCCTTACGCGGCAGAACGTGGACTAGTAGGCAAAATAAAATAAAATAAATTACACTGCAGATTTTGTGAATATTCAACATTAAAACTTCATTGCTTTATCAAATAGATCGCACATATTAGATGAGATTTCTCTATTTTGCATAATAAAGGAATTCTTGATGGAATTTTCTGTACAAAATTTGGCTGCTCCTAATCATCTCAGATAATCAGTTTGAAAGTTTTGGTGCAGTGTGTACCTTGGCCAGCAAAGTTTGTATTAATTCAAAACACAATGTGGCAAAAGTACAGTTGAAGTAAATTTGTCTCAGGCAGAAGTTTGTGTTTGTGTTGACAAAAGTCAGTGGTAGTTGCATTTCCCCATGACTTAGGAAGACTTTAAGTCAGACTCCTAAAAAGATGAGTAGATTTGGCTGGAAGGGTTTTTCTTTGTCGGTCAAAGGCCCGTTGCTACTGTTCCTTTCATTGGCTTGAAATGTGGAAGGGATAGAGTAAAACAGTGTGTAGAGATAGTGCCCCTGGTGACATCTTGATCTAGTTGAAGGTGTTCCTACTCATTGAAAGAGGGTTGTACCAGATGAAATTGAAAGGTCCTTTCCAAACCAAATTATTCTATGATTTATGATTCTAAGTTCTTTCTTTCATATTTGCACATGAACTACAAGAGGATCCAGTTTAGGACTCTCAATGTAGTGGTCCCTGCCAATCCTGGGGCGTGTTAACCCGAATTCAATGTTTTGAATAGTTATATCACTTTTGGTTTGTAACTGATTGGTGGTTGAACAGTTAAAAACGTTCACTATTCAGTTCTATCTGTCCAGAAAATCTTAGTGAAAGAGTAAATATCCTGAGTACTTTTAGCAACTTTTTCCACTTTTTGTTTTTTTGTTTATTTTATTGTTGAAAGAAATTGCCTTAATTCTGGTTTGATTCCATGTAGATATTTGATTCATACAGCTATTTATTTTCATGGAGCCGACCCTCGTTTACATCCACTGATCCCAGCTGTGGTTCTCTGTTATATTTTCCTTCATTACTTATTGATTTTTAATTACCATTCTAACTGAAGAAAAGGTTTTCCCTCTCACTAAAACACTTTCACCGTAAGTCACAGACGTGTACATACATGCATGCTCACATACATGCGCATGAGTGCAGGCACACATATGTGATGGACTAAAGTGTCGATAAAGTCTTAAACATTGTCAAAATCATAGAAAGGCTTTTTGTCAAACTGCAAGGAAGCACAGTCCGTCTGTGGCCACCGAAGAACCTGTCTCCTCCCAATGCCTCCTGACTGGAATTTCAACTGTGACTGAGGACTTCAGATAAGACTATTGTCTAATCATCTCAAGTCTGAGGAGAACTAAACAAGGCTCAGAAAGAAGAATGTGTCTATGTTAAGAATCAGCCCAAAGTGTGTACAAGGGGTGACAAGTGAGAAGGATTTCAAGCGTGTGATGGTAAAATCTCTCCACACCAAACCAAAGCAGTAACCCCTGCCACCCCGGGAAGACCACGTACACATGGGACATCACATGAAAGATAGTTGAGAAGGGGTCATAAACCATCAAAGACACCCAAAGCATCTCCCTAGCTCATTCCCGAGGCCTTCCACCACCAGAAGCTTGCATGTGATCCAAGTGAGGCAACAAATCTGTTACAAGAGACTGCAAACCTTCCCCCCTCGAAGGGGAGGTGCCTGGCGTCTCCTGAACATATATTAATCCATTGGACTCTATGTTTTTGGGAAACCCTCACCACCAAGACCAGAAGAATCAGACTGATGGGACACTGCTGGGCTACTTTTTCTATTTTAATCTCTCTGTCACTTTCTTTCTTCTACCCCTCCCTTCCTGCTCTCCCCCTTTTCCTATTTTTCTGTCTCTCCTTGTCTCACATTTACCATTAAAAAACCCTCATACTGTTGATTTTTGGCATTTGGTCACGTTTGTACCTTAATTCGGACAGAAGCATTTCTAGTAATTTTAATAACCAGATCATAACTACAGGCAAGCTCTCCCCCATGTATTAGAAATATTTTGTCCTTATTTAACATATTTTAATATTTTTTTATTTCTTTATTCCAATATTAAATTGATCAAGAATCCCTTGATCTTTTTTTATAGGTAACTCTTCTATAACATACTTTTAAATTGCACCTCTTCTCCAATATGGTCTCAGGTAACATCTCCTTTCAAAAACTTCATTGACATTGTTAATAAAAGCATTGTTAATATGCAAAGGAAAATAAAGTCTTTTAAAGAGATTAGCAAAGAATAAAAATACAAAAGTAATAAGTAAGACTTAACACTAGCAAACTCCAACAAACATAAAATTATAGAAGAAGAGTAGTACCTAGCTTATATCAGACAATTCAAGAGTCAGGTTCAAGTTAAAAATTGACTCTATAGTGGGGCTGAAAAAGCAGTGTTGTACCCAGAACATATGAACAAAACCAAAGCAAAGTGTCTTGCAGATTTTTTTGTAGAGAAAAAGAGGCTGTTTTCTTTCTTTTCTGAGTTTTAGTGAAAACTATTTTCAGCATTCAACAACTGAAATTAGAACCATGTCTGTTATTTAGATTATGGTATTAGGAAATTTCTTCCAGGGTTTATTTATTTTAATATTTGCTATTTTTTTATAGAGGGTTATTTTTTCCAAAGAACTACTTTAGACAAAACCTTGGTAATGGTTTCTAACAGGCATCTAAGTACAAAATATTGGGTAGGAAACTGACATGCTGCCAGCACGAAGTTCTGTAGAATCTGGAAGACTGAGTGCTGTGCGGAGATGTATTTCTGGAGTTTTTGTCTAACATTTGCCATTTTAAGAATAATGATGGTATAAAAATTTAGTCTTTAACAATGATTTTGCAGTTATTTAAGATTCATAAGAACTTGAGCTTCTTGTGAAGAGCCTAATTGCCCTTAAATTTTTATTGAATTTGTAATTACCTCACTCAGTGTTATCCAGTATTAGATAAGAAGAGAGGACAAATGCCTTTGATAACAGTGGTATTTTTACATAAAAAGAGTAGCTGATGAAGATTCCATCCTAAAAGGAAACAGGTTGAATATAAATGAACAACTGAATGTATTGCTTTAACCTTCTGATTTTGAAGTGTCTTGAATTATTGAATTCCTGTCATTGGCTCCATCTTGCACACCACATATACTCAAGACCTCATTGAGTTTACAAAGTTGCATTCATTAATGTAATAAGAACAAAACTGCTTTGGTAAAGTAACAGCAAATCAGACTTAGTTTGCAAGTAATCTAAGAGTCTAGGTCATTTTTATCATATCACATCTCAAGGACAGAGTTCTACTTTAATGAGATTCCCTGACTTCCTTCAGATCCAAAAAGCACATAACTAAGGTTCAACAATCTGATTTTACTATTTACCTGAATTAACTTCAGCAGGTAGGGAACTAAAATGTATTTAATATTTCAGAATTTGTCCCCCTAAAAAGGTTAGAAAGTAAAAAAAAGACAGAAAGTAAACATATTGTATTTTTGTCATACATTATCTCGTATTTTCTGTTATGATTCCAGTCATATCTCACACACTGTCAGCTGTTTGCTGTTTTCTCTGATTTAGAAATAAGAGAATAAAATGCAAATGATTTTCCAGGCCAAACAAGCAACATGGATTACATTTTTATTGTGGTAAATGTTTATATCTCATAGGCTTTGATTTTCCTGAATTGAACAGTGATTTTTAGAATATGACATTTTTGCCTCAGGATGCTTCTCCTGAGCATCAGAGATTTAGTAGAGAAACTAATAAAAATAAATATAACCCAATTTTTTGATTTGGTTTACTTTTGGATTTTTCATTGGTTTTTTGTTTGGTTGGGTTTTTTTGTTGTTTGTTTTGTTTCATTTTGGTTTTTGTTTGGGTTTTTTTGCTTAAAAATGGAAAAATGTAATTTAACTATCTCATACAGGAAGTTTTCACAAAGACGTTCTTTCAACCATCTATACTTAACAGGTATGTTGTCACATTTTGATTTTTTCTTTTTACCATGTTGTACTGACAAAGCTCAACATAGAAGCACCTATATTGGCAATAGTTCACCAGGGACAAAATGTGTACACACCATAGGAGTAGGAACACTGAGTCAGCTTCATGTGCTGCCCTAAAAGAGTCACGAAACAAAGAACAGAACAGCATGGAGCTGTTATGGTCACGCTCTTTTTAGAACAATGTATGTAAGAGGAACTAAGACAAAGGAATGACCCAAATGATAACTGAAAGTTGAACTATCATTAACTTGACAATACATTTTACTTTTCAAGTGCCTGCCTATGCTAATTAATTAAAACCTGTACATGTTTTACATATAGGACTAAGTCACTCAAACTCCACCTGATCATGAATGACATTAAGTGAAATTTTATCTTTTCCTCATCCTCAAAGAAAAGAATATGAATATAACCAAGGAGGGGACGGGGATCAGAGGAGACTCCACTTTTACATCCTTGGACAGTCAAAGGGCTGTACCCATCTCTTCCCCATAGGAACACCTATCAGGTAAACTTTATCCTGCAGTAATACTGTTGCTTATGCTTTCTGATATCAGTGTATTTGTCAGCAGCATTTTTCTGAAGCTTATTCTGTACAGTAATCAAGAAATTTCACCATTTGTGAATCTGGAATCTTGTTGAATGTTCCCAGACTTATAGTATAACCCATACTATTTGTGCACCTGGGACGGCAAATGTGGCCAGACTTACGGTGTAAATCATGATGTTTGTGCATCTAACACCTTTCCAGACTTAAAGTGTAGAATTGGTGGCTCTAAGATATTATCTGTGAAGATCTCCTAAGGACTTGGACAGATACATATTGTAGTGCCTAAGAAGTGGAAGGAAAAACTGCCCACAGGCCCAGTACATCTGCAGGTAATCCAGAAAGCAAGGAAGTCTCCTTTTCCTATATATTTTCCTGACTAGTGCACATACTCATGAATAAACCGCATCCATATTATTTCACAAAACCAAGAATTAATTCTAGTCATCTGTCATGCCCACTATATAAACTGAGGGAGTTACCGAGAATAGGAGCTGATTTGGGTGTGTGGCCTTTCCTGCAGGAGACAGCTTCAAAAACTCCATTAATTTAAAAAAATTTAAAAGTCAGAATTCGACAAATTCTTATACTATTTTTTCCTTGTGAGAGCTTTGTTTGCAGTTGAGCAATATTTAGGAGCACTTACAATTTGCAGCGTGGCTGCTTTTTGTGCAAAGATGACCTGCAAATTACTGAGAATTTCCCAGTAAAATGAATATTGTTACTAGAAGTGTACGCTTAAGTATTGAAGATGCTCAGCTTAATGACTCAAGTCCTTGGAAAGAATTTATTTCCCCACCCTGAAGCCCTATTCCTAATACACTTAGCAGAAGTTAACTATATTTTGCACTTTGATAATTTCTTTAGAAAATTTTACTACCTCACTGCATTTTGAAAGCATGAGTCAGCAACACATAAATAAGTCTCTTATTTAAAGATGCATGTTTGAAGGAAACTGGGAAGAGAGCCTATAAATAGACAGCCCTTTGATCTGGACAGAGACTTTGATTTGTACGGGTTGGATTGATGGGATGAGGCAATTGTATGAAGTTCAATAAAGCAAAGTGCCAGGTTTTTCACTTCAGTCACAACAACCCTATGCAGAGCTACAGGCTGGAGGCAGAGTAGCTGAAAACGTGGTCCAGAGGAAAATGACCTGAGAGTGCTGGTTGACAGCAGCTGAACATGAGACAGTGTATGATCAAGTGCCCAAGAAGACCAATGGCATCCTTGCTTGTCTCAGCAATAATGTGGTCATCAGGACCAGGATTGTCCCCTCTGTACTTGGCACTGGTGAGGTTGCACCTCAAATACTGGGTAGAGTTCTGGGCCCCTCACTACAAGATATTGAGGTGCTGGAGTGTGTCCAGAAAAGGGTAATAGGGTTGGTGAAGGGTCTGAAGCACAGGTTTTTTGAGGAGCAGCTGAGGGAACTGGGATTGTTTAGAATGGAGAAAAGGAGACTCAGGAGAGACCTTATTGCTCTCTACAGCTACCTGAAGAAAGGTCGTAGCCAAGTAGGAGTCAGCCTCTTTTCCCAGGTAACAGGTGACAGGATGAGAAGAAATGGCCTCAATCTGTACCAAAGGAAGTTCAGGTTGAACATTGGAAAGAATTTCTTTACTGAAAGGGTGCTTAAGCATTAGAATGGGTTGCCAAATTAAGTGATGGAGTCACCATCCCTGGAAGTGTTCAAGAACTGATGGAACGTGGCACTTATTGCCATGATCTAGATGACAAGGTGGTTTCAGTCAAAGGTTGGACTTGATGATCTTGGAGGTCTTTTCTAATCTTAATGATTCTATGATTCTATAAATTCAGTTTCACTGATTGAGAAATAATTAAAATAACCTGATAATTTTGGATGCAACCCCGTTACAGTCGAAATCAAAATTCTCATTGTCATAAAAGGATGTAGAATGGGGAACATCCTGAAGTCTAGGATAAAACCAAAACTGACAGAGAAAAAAAAGGAGCTAATGGACACTACTTCATATCCACTTCGTTAATCATAGGTATTGTGGTCAAAAGTATCCTCAAATATGGCTAAGCCTCAGTCATTCATTAAGAAAAGCAAAAAATAGCTTTGCTATCTAACTTTTATTATGCTCCAAGACAATAAGAGATGGTATAGTCTTTTAATCACATTGTTACAGAAGTGATGTTGCCCTGCCCTACCATGTAGTTTTGTTCCTACAGTGTTTTATATATGTCTATCTATCTATCTATCTATCTATCTATCTATCTATCTATCTATCTACATTTATCTGTCATCTCTGAGTGCCTTGACTTCTTGCAAAGGTGCACACTGTTAGAAGATTAGTTGCAAAACAACTCAGAAGATATGACATCATGTTGATGACATTAGGACTTTAGGCCACACAGTGGAGTGCACTGGACCAGAAAACAGACTTCCAGATTTTGATCTTTTATGTGAGTTATACTATAGACATGCAATGCATACCTCTCAGTTAACCAATGTTTCATTTTTCCCTTTGTTGTAGTTTAAGTGCAGCCACTCACTCTCCTTCCCCTGATAGAACGAGGGACAGAATCAGAAGAGTGAAAGTGAGAGAACTCTTGGCTTGAGATAAAGACAGTTTAGCAGGTAAAGGAAAAAGGAAATAAGATGAGGAATTCATTCACCACTTCCCATGGTCAGAGAGGTGTTCAGCCTTCTCCAGGACAGCTGGGCTCCATCATGTTTAATGTTGTTTTGAGAAGACAAACACCATCACTCAAAACTTCCCCCCACTTTCTCCTTCTTCTTTCTCCAGTTTTATGTGCTGAGCACAATGAGTGGTACGGAATGTCCCTTGGGTCAGCTGGGATCAGCTCTCCAAACTGTTTCCTTCTCAACTTCCCATACACCTCCAGCTCCTTTTCCAACGTGGCAATGTGAGAGGCAGAAAAGACCTTTATGCTGTGCAAGCACTGCTCAGCGATAACAAAAACACCTCTGTATGATCAAGTTCAATTTTCAGTACAAATCCAAAACATAGCCCACTACGAGCTGCTGTGAAGAAAATTTACTTTTATCCAGCCAAAATCAGCATCCTTTTATTTCAAAGGGTAGATTAAAGCATAATGTTCTGACCTTAACTGAAGATAAAATTATTCTTTTTTTCATAAACTGCTGTGTCATGTCATGAGTATTTGTAATGATACAATTCCTCTATTACAGGTGAGGATTTCAGTAACCAAATGGAAAACTGAAGCACAGACAAAACGAAGTCTGGAAGTTTTCTACTTGATTGTCAGCTGTATTGAAAAGAAAATCACCCATTTAATTTTATTTTGGGGGCAATTTTTTTTCATCAGACGAAATGCTTTCAATTGTGAAAGCACAAGTCCTGCATGCATTTAGTGACCACAGGTATAAAGTGTGGTATAACTTGCTTGTTACACAGGTATAACTTGCTTGTTACAAAGCAAAAAGATTGTGCTATTTTGGTAGAATTGAACAAATGGTTACTGTAGTTTACATTGAATCAAATCATTCAAGCATCATTTAGTCATCTCAGCTATGAAGCTTCCTTCTCTCTTTTGCATTATATTAATTTGCAACAAACTTTCAGCTTCAGCAAAAACTAAAAGACTTTATTGTATTTTCTGCTAATGTATTTTGGTGTTGACTATTTTAGGTTATAATAATACTCAAAACTCCATGCAACAATTTCCAGATATAATCACAATGACTGTGTCTGACAGCAGGACCAGAACTTCCTAGTTATGATTCATTTGAAGTAGGAGAGGAAGTTATACCAATACCTGACATCAGTTCAATACTCCTTCCTCTTCCTTCACTTTAATGAAAATTACTTTTTACTTTACACATAGCGTGCATAACAAAGGTGGTAATAGTTGAAGTAGTGAGAGTACCTGAAAAATACAGTCTCTGTCGTGAAGTTAATGCCATATTCTAGTCCAAAGTGAGTGGGAAACTAACATTATATTATTTGTCCAGTTTAGTGGGCTGTTAGTAAAGTGAGAAAATTTCCCAGGTGCTGTGTAGCAAAAACACTTTTGTGTAGGCAGACAAGGTAAATAAAGAAGTTATGAAAATCTGAAATATACTGGATTTTGCTATGTGCACTGGATTTATGCACATTGCAAACTCAGCAGAGATCAACTATCTCTAGGAAAGTGGAAACTGTGATATCATTTTATAGACTTGTCATTAGGCAAGCATTGAGCAGATTTTTTATCAAGGAAGAAAAAATACATCACTGATGTTAAAAGAAACAAAACAAGCTGAAACCTACTCTTTGCAGGTGAAAGGAGCACTTCGTGCACACAATGAGATGTAGGGTATTGCTTTTTCCTTGTTCCTTTATCTAGTTTCAATTCTGTTTCTATTACACAAATAGACTACTGTTGTTTTGTCTTCATTATAACTACATTATACATTTTATGCTTCACTGTGTTTGTTTTAGACTTGCTTTACAGAGGCTGCTGAGCTCTTTGGGCTGGAAGTCATCTTAAAGAAGACAGAGGTTCTCCATCAACCTGCACCTCAGGAAGTCCCCCATCATCCCCACATCACCATTGGCCAATCAGAGCTCAAATCAGTCCAGCAGTTTAATTACCTAGGTAGCCTCATCTCCTCGGATGGTAAGATTGACGGAGAGATAGACAACAGGTTAGCAAAGGCATACAGTGCTTTTGGAAAACTCCACAAAAGAGTATGGCATAATAAACACTTGAAGAAAAGTACCAAGATCAGTGTTTACAGAGTCATTGTACTGTCTACTCTCTTGTATGGTTCCAAATCATGAGTCATCTACTGCCACTACCTGTATCTCCTAGAACACTTCCATCAATGTTGCCTCCGTACAATCCTAAACATCCACTGGTCAGATTATGTAACCAATACATCTGTTCTAGAACAAGCAGCAGTCACAAGTATTGAGGTCATGTTGATGAGAACACAGCTGCACTGGGCAGGGCACGTCTC